TCTAGGGAAGCCTCCTAAGACCAGCGCCGGAGCTGCTGGGAATCATCCTCAGCCAGGCCCTGTCCGCCAGCCGGCCTGCCCGTCCAGCCTTCTGTGGCTGCTCCTGCCCCTGCCTGGGAGGGCATAGGCCGATCAATACCGGCAGCCCCCCCCCCCCCGCCCGGGACCAGCCCTCTCCCCAGCAGGATGGGGTGCCCAGCCACCAGTGGCCTCCTGCTGTTGTTTTCAGTCAGATCTTGGCCCACAGGACCAGTTCCCAGGGCAGGCCCAGCCCTCCACCCAATGCCTGGCTGTCCTGCTCTCTGATGCTCTCATCCAGAGCGCCCCCTCAGGCTGGAGAAGCTTCGAGGCTCAGCCTTGCTCTCCTGAGTCGGGAGGTGGGTCTGTCAGAAAGTTGGCACAACCCACAATCCACAGGGCTGACTGTGGGCCCCCTCTTGGTGGCACAGGTACACAGGGGAGGAGGAAGGGGAGGGGGGAGGAGGAGGCGAGAGAGGAGGGGGGGGAGGAGAGGGGAAGGGGAAGAAGGAGGAAGAAGGAGAGGAAGAGGAGGAAGGAGAGGAAGAGGAAGGAGAGGAGGAAGGGGATGGAGGGGAGGAGAGGGAGAGCAAGGGGAGGGGGAGGGGTGAGAAAAGGGGAAAGGGGAGAAGGAGGAAGAAGGAGAGGAGGAGGAAAAGAGGGAGGAGGAGGGGAGGGGGAGAGGAGGAAGAGGGAGGGAGAAGAGATGGAGAAGGAGGAGGAGCAAGGGGAGAAATAGGAGGGGGAGGGGGAGGAAGGGGAGGAAGGGGACACCTGGTTGATCACCAACCCCAACCATATCCGCTGACCTGTGACCTGCCAGGGTCTGGGTCCTGGGATGGCTGCCCAGCCCAGGCGATGGGCTGAAGGGCACCCGCAGGGGCTGACCATCCGCAGGGCTGACCACCTGCACCACTCACAGGGGCTGGCCACCCACAGGGGCTGGCCACCTGCGCCCTGTGCCCATCCGCCCGTCGGCCTACTGTAGGGGCAGCGGCAGCCCATGCGTGTGTCAGCGTGGTGTCATGAGGCCTGCCCACTTCGCACAGGACTTGTGTCTTGCTGGCCTGGTGCGCGGCCGCCCGCCTCCGGCTGGCCACTCCTGGCCTGGTCCTCACCTCTGGACCTCACAGGCCCTTACCCGCTCTCCAGGAGCACCTTTGGGTCCAGGGGGTCCATCTCTCCCTGTCAGACCCTGGGGAGAGAGGGACAGGGGGGCTCAAGGAACCATCATCTGCAATCACACCCCCCTTGCCAGGAAAACAAAAAGTGAGTCACAGCCCCTTCCTTAACCAAATGATGCAGAAGGGTCTGGTCGCCCCCTTTCCCTGGTGCACCCCATCTCCACGACGGGGTGGGGGCAGTCCGTGGGAACAGATCCAGCGGCCAGCAGCCCTCTTCAGATCTGTCCTAGAGCCAGGCCTGGAGCCTGTGACCACCACCAGAGCCCGGGGCTGGGAGGCCACTGGGGCGGGCCAGCGGCGAGCGGGCCCGATGGAGGTGCTAGTTCTGATCAGCAAGAACTCTGGACTTCTGACTGTGGCATGTCTGGGCCTGAGGCCAGCGTCCCTGCTGAAGACTACTGGAAGCTTCTGTCAGAACTGGTTTCCTGCCTGACCAGGCCCAGCTGGACAGCAGCAATTAGAAGCTGACCCTTGGGGCCAGGCCTGGGTGGGGCACACTCACATCCACGCCGGGCAGGCCGGGCAGGCCCGCCTCTCCTGGTCTTCCTGGTTTTCCTGGAGTCCCCTTTGGCCCCTGTGCAGAAGGAAGGGGCAGAGGTGGGAGGGAGGGACACGTTTCAGCCCTGAGCCCCAGCAGGAAGAGAACATGGAGAGGCCCTGGAGACAGGCCGGCTCCAGAGGTGCAGGCCTCCCGCCCCCCTCCCGTCCACCCTCACCCCTCTACCACGTCGGCAGCGTGCTCCCCGGCCCAGCCAGTCCCCAGGGAGCACATTGCAGGCTGAGTGGGCCTGGAGGGCCATGGTGACCCCCTTCCCTGGCCTGTGTGGGCACAGGCCCAAAGAAAGCTTCCAGCCAGCCCCCCCCCCCCCCCCGCCGAGCCCCGCAAGCTCCCCTCCGCCCATCCTGATGCTGCCCCCCCCCCAGGCGACACAGGCCCTGCATGGGGGGAAGGCTGTCAATGACCTTCTGTTCTCCAGGCCCCTCCTCCTCCCCAGACCGGAAGGGCCCCCTCTCCCACAGCCGAGGGTACTCACGGGGGACCCGGGTAGGCCTGGAGGGCCAGCTTCTCCCTGCAATGGGCGGTGACCAGTGTGAGCCCTAAACTGGCTGTCCCTGGAAAGTCACCCAAGGAAGTCGAGCAAGGGGCTTCCCTGGAGACAGGCCGGAGACGGTGGGACCTCAGCCCTCCCCCCACCCCGCAGCACCAGGGTGAGGGGGTCGCCCCAGCCCACGGGGCACTTGGGAAGCAAGCTGAGGGCCAAGACAACCCCTGGGGAATGCATCACACAGTCCCACATCTCCACTGGCCTAAGAGTGTTAGAAAGGGGCCGCCAGATTCAAACTGATAAGTAAATCAGAGAAGTGGTGGGGAGGGGACAGCCCCACAAGCCAGAGTGATCAAACCCCACAACCCAGCCTTCAGAGTCTGAGGCCCAGATATCCGCCCCTGTGGATCTGGGGTCCACCACGCCTCCTCCAGAAGCGGCTCTGCAGTGCGAGAGGGGCTCCCGGCCATGGAGCAGCCACAGCCAGTATCTGCTCCTTAGAGCCCTGCCCTCCCGGAGGAGGCTGGGAGGGGGGATTTTCACCACAGACGCCCCTTCTCCAGGAGGCAGAGGCTGAAAGACTTCATTTGATCCCCAAAGTGTATGGGCCATAGCTGTGGTGGAGAGCCAGGGGAGACACCCCGGGCCGGGGCGCCGGCTGGGCTCTCCACACGCCCTGCCCTCCCGGGCTGGGCCCAGTCCTGAGGACACTCGCCCAGGTCTAACCAAGCCCGCCCTGCTCCCCCACCCCAGGACCCCCCTCCCCCCGGGAGACACCCCCGGGCCGGGGGCGCCGGCTGGGCTCTCCACACGCCCTGCCCTCCCGGGCTGGGCCCAGTCCTGAGGACACTCGCCCAGGTCTAACCAAGCCCGCCCTGCTCCCCCACCCCAGGCCTGCCCCCCCCCCCCCTGTGGGATCAAGGACACGGGATGGGGACCCCGCTCATCGCCTCCCGGCCTCCTTGGGCACTCACGTCGATGCCGTCCCTGCCGGGCTTCCCAGGGGCCCCTGGGGGGCCAGGGGGGCCTCGAGGTCCCATTTTCTAAAATGGAGAGAAGCCATTAGGAGGGCCCACCCCCTCAGGAAGACCCCCAGGTACGTCCTCCTTCGCTCCAAAAGAGCATCCCACCTCCCACCCAGCACTGCCAGCCCGGCCTGCCTCCAGGCCTCCTGTGTGGGTGCCTGGCACCCTCGAGCACTTTGTCCTTGGGGCCCGGAGGGCCTGAGTCCCCGGCCCTGCAGGGAATCTGGGAACAAAGGCCGCATTGTCAGTCCCTTCCCAGGTCCGGGGCAGGCGGCAGGCAGACCCAGCCGGGCAGGGGCAGGTGGGCAGCCTGGCTCATCCCCACGCCCGTCTGGTGGACCGTGATGAGCCTGCTCCCAGTGTCCCCGGGGGCTCGGGGCAGTGGGGACACGAGCAGGGACAGTCCAGGGCGGTGGGCAGCCCTGGCCGGGGCTGGTTCCAGATAGTGGGAAGGAGCAAGGGCAGCTCTGGCCGCTTGGGCTGCGCGCTTCCACGCAGGTCCCTAGCCCCGACCCCGTGTGCCCGCCCTTTGCCAGATGGGACCCGCACTCCAGGGCTGCGCTCACCTGGGCCGCACTCACCTGGGCCGTGGTGGCGGCCAGGAGCTGCCCCAGCAGCAGCAGGACCAGGGTGGGTGCTCGGGCCATGGCTGGCTGGTGTCTGCGCGCCGGAGCCCGGCCGCCAGGCAGTGCGGTGGTGGGCGGGGCGGAGGCCGCGGGCCCCGCCCCCTACCGCACACAAGCCCCCCATTCAGCCAGGCCCACCTGGGCAGGCCGGACGCCACGCCACCGGGGGAGGGGAGCCCCGCCGCGATTTCTGGCGGCCTCGGAGTTAAAATTATCCTGGGACTGGCGCCGCGCACACACTCACACCTTTCAGCACAGGACAATCAAGAAAGGGTCTTTTCTGTCTGCCGTGGGCCAGCGTGCGGCGGGAAGTCTCCAGTGAAGGGCGCTTTTTAAGGGCAGGGGCACACCCAGACCCAAGCCAAGCCCAGGAAGACGCTGCGGGCCAGTCTCCCCCAGCGGGGCCCATGATGCCCCACAGCCTGGTGGCTTTCCAGGAAAGCTCTGGGGCCACAGTCCCGACCCTAACCTAGATTGTGCAGAAGGGCTGTCCTCCCCGCCCCCCGCCGGCCCTGGGGGTGCCACCAGCAGCCACAGTCAGACTGGCACCTGTCCCTGGAGGTGAACCTAGGGGATGGGTGCGGGGCCCGACGGCCCCAATGGCTTCAGGGGCTGCTCCTCCCAGCAGGCACTGACTGCTAGGGATGTGTGTGTGTGTGTGGGGGGGGGGGGTCAGGGGCCTTCAGGGCTCAAATGTACAAGTCACCCAGAGGGCTCATCAGACCTGTAGGCTTGCAGCCCGGGAATGCTGCCTGGGTTATAGACTCACAGGAACATCAGCTCCCTAGGTGGGTCTCAGAACCTTTGGATGATGGGAATTCATGAGGGAGTGGACAGAAAAGGGGAGTGGTCAGTCAGTGCTGGTGGCTCACGCCTGCAATCCTAGCAGAGTACTACTCTGGAGGCTGAGATCTAAGGATCATGGTTTGAAGCCAGCCCAGACAGGAAAGTCTGGGAGGCTCTCATCTCCAATAAAACAGCAAAGGCTGGGAAGGTGGCTCAGTGGTAGAGTGCTTGCCTTGCATGCCTGAGGCCCTGGATTTGATTCCCCAGCACCACATAAGAAAAAAGAAAAAAGCTGGAAGTGGTGCTGTGGCTCAAGTGGTAGAGTGCTAGCCTTGAACTGAAGAGCTGAGGGACAGAGCCCAGGCCCAGAGTTCAGGCCCCACGACTGGACCCAAAACAAACAAACAAACAAAAAAACCCCAGTAAAACAGCAAGCGGAGTGGTGACGCAAGTAGAGCGCTCGCCTTGAGCGAGGAGCTCAGGAACAGTGTCCAGGCCCTGAGTTCAAACCCCAGGACCGGCAAAAATAAAGGGAGTGGTAGTAAAATGGCACAAGAATAGGCGGTTCTCACATCTACAAGGTGGGCTAACACAGGAGACTCTGCCATCAAAGACAGACCCAGCCGCCGCTCCTGTGCCCTCCTGGGAGGTGTGTGCGGCTGCATACATCCTGGGTGGGGGGAGCTCAGAGCGGTCCTGCTCTTCATCACTGGGTAACATGCCAGGACAGGCCTGCCTGTGACAAGGGGGTGGGGAGGGGACCAGCCCCTTCCCATCTCAACTCCAGGGGTCAGAAACACAATAGTTCCTCTTGGTCAATCCAATACAGCAAGACGAGGTTTTGGCAGCTCCGCCTACAGCTCCTCCCACTGGACCCTGGGTCCCACCCCAATGCCCAGCGTGCAGTGGCAGCGTGCCTGGGGGGGGGGTGAAGCACAGCTGGCCTCCACCTGGTGATGGACACAGCGTGCCAAAGTCTCTGAGTAGCTCCTCCCCTCGCCCCTTGCAGATCCTCAGGAGTGGGCTGGCCTCTCTCTAGTAGAGCTCACTAAACCAGGCCAGGTAGAACCACTGTCCACTTGTTTGGGGGACACTGCTCCCACTCCCTGAGGGGATCAGATGGGTCAGTAAGGCCCGCTCTCCCAGGTACCCAGTGTTGTTGGGATGGCCCGGTGGCATTGGCACGAGGCCCCGCATGGCCTCATTTTACTTCAAGGGTTGAGACCGCACTGTGCAGACCAGGCCTTGGGTCACAGGAGCCCTACCACGGTGACAGCCACACCCATCTCAGTGCTCAGTTTACCTTCATGGCACAAACACCACCTGTGAACATAACCAGAGCAGAGATGCCAAGAGGTCCCATAGCTTCTGGGGCCGGTGGGCATCTGCAGGGACCCTGCCCCACAGGACAGGCCCTCCACAGCGGACTCCTCCGCTCGGGGGTCCCCAGGCCCACAGGACAGGCCCTCCACAGCGGACTCCTCCCCTCAGGGGTCCCCAGGCCCACAGGACAGGCCCTCCACAGCGGACTCCTCCCCTCAGGGGTCCCCAGGCCCACAGGACAGGCCCTCCACAGCGGACTCCTCCCCTCGGGGGTCCCCAGGACAGGACCTCCACGGTGATCCCTTCCCTCAGGGGCCCCCAGGCCCACAGGACAGGCCCTCTACGGCAATCCCTCCCCTCGGGGGTCCCCAGGACAGGCCCTCCACGGCGACCCCTCCCCTCAGGGGTCCCCAGGCCCACAGGACAGGCCCTCCACGGCGACCCCTCCCCTCGGGGGTCCCCAGGCCCACAGGACAGGCCCTCCACGGCAACTCCTCCCCTCGGGGGGTCCCCAGGACAGGCCCTCCACGGCGACTCCTCCCCTCGGGGGTCCCCCAGGCCCACAGGACAGGCCCTCCACGGCGACTCCTCCCCTCGGGGGGTCCCCAGGACAGGCCCTCCATGGCAGAGTTCTCCCCTCGGGGGTCCCCAGGCCCACACCCTTTCATACTTGTCCCAAGGAACACCTCCGCACCCCAAGTCAGGGCATCTGGAAAGGCCTGGCCTAGATCTGCCCCATCTCAAACACGGCCTCCAGCCCAGCCCTAGCGCCCCCTGCTCCGCTGCACACCGCCCCGGCCAAGCCCCAGGGGCCGTTCACTCCACCACTGCACCCCAGCCCAGCCCAGCCCAGCCCGAGGCAGTGTGCTCCTCCCCTGCAGGCCCCGGAGGCTGCAAGCTGGGTGCACGCTGGGTGCCGGTGCTGCAGCGGCCTCTCCTCAGGGAGAGCAGCATGGACAGGCACTTTGCCCAGGCGCAGCGGCGCGGTGTGCCTCTGGCTGGCCCAGGGAACTCCAGAGACCGTTTCTACACGAGACTAGCTCACAGGCTGCCAAAAAGACAAAGTCAAACGAGTTTATTCAGAAAAGGCCTCGCTTGGCACCAGAGTAAGAAAAGAGGCCTCTCCCCCAGGACCCTGGCGGGCCAGTCATAAGCGCGGGGCTCGGGCCGGGGGCACAGTGAGGTAAGGAGTGTTGGAGGCCTCGGCCTTCCCTGAGGGGCCTCCATCCTTCTGGCAGCCGCTGCAGTGACCACCAGACACCAGCACTGCTGGGCACCAAGAAGGGACAGCCCTGACTTCCTGTGCCTAGCTCCTGCAGCAGGGCTGGGCAGGGCCAAGGCGCCCACCCTAAGGCTTTCTGGGCTTGGCAGCTCCCATCCCTGCTGCCTCTTGGGACTGGGCCACAGGGCCTCCCTCAGCGCCAGGGGCCCTCCGCCCCGGCCCCGCCTTGCTCTCTGGGCCCTCAGGGACCCCACTCAGGGCCTGGGGCTG